TATTTATTATTACTATTACTAGTTATTATTATTATTATTATTATTACTAGTTATTATTATACTAGTTAGTATTATTCCTGTTTATTTATTATTATTATTATTATTGCTAGTATTACTAGTAATAGTAATAGCAGTAATAGTACTATTATTATTATTATTATTATTATTTATTAATAATATTATTGTTACTATTACTAGTATTTATTATTAATATTATTATTACTGTTAATAATTTATTAACTTATTTATTTATTTACTAATTTATTTATTTTTTTATTTACTCATTTATTTATCTACTAATTTATTATTTACTAATTTATTTATTTATTTATTTATTTATTTATTTATTTATTTATTTATTTATTTGTTTATTTACTTATTTATTTATTAAACAACTATATTGGTACTGACGGGACAATGAGAAGGAATAGACAAATATAAGAGTTACTTGCTGCTTATGAATAATTAATTAATAATTAATAATTAATAATTATTTAGTTATTAATTATTTAATTATTAATTATTTAATTATTAATTATTTAATTATTAATTATTTAATTATTTAATTATTTAATTATTAATTAAATAGAAGATTGAATTTATTCGTACTATCGATACAACATAACAAATAATAACGCCAAAAAAAATAACGGTAGCAGCAACAACAAATAATAAACAATTAAATAAATAAATAAATAAATAATAATAATAATAATAATAATAATAATTATTATTATTATTATTACTTTATTATTTTATTATTTATTTATTTATTTATTTATTTATTTATTTAATTATGTAGTCAACAACGAGGTAGCATGCGACTATCGATAGGATTGGACAATCGAGTATACAATTGTACATGTATACTCTCTTTTTGCCGTACAAAAAGGGAGAAAAAGGGGGAATAATGCCATTGGCGTCTTTACTAAATAATAATTAACAATTAATAGAAAGAAGGCAACTAAAAAGAAGGAAACAAAGACAAAAAAAAAGAGACATGAATAGGTGACCGCCGTCGTCTGACCACAGTTGACAGAAAGGGTTATTTTGCATAATATTTTGCATAAAATTAAAAAATAAAGAATAAATAAACAAAAAAATTAATTTATTGTTAAATAAATTAAAATAAATATTCAAAAATGTTCTTTCCTTTGTCTTCTACTTTATATTCCCTTTCTATTGGGCTGGTCAGGTAGTATTTCCGGGAAACAGGACGAGAGGAAATATCTTAAAATAGAAGGAAAAAACAACAAAAAATGTATTTTTATGAATAATAATTAATTCTTAATTCATTTTTATTATTATTTTAAGGAAATTATTATATTTTATTGGCGTATTCCTCAAAAAACCACGATTGGTTGTAGACAAATACATGAATTCCCTTTGTGCATACACCCCAAGATAGGAGGCTGGGAATTCATCTTCTTGCAAGCCTCATTCGTATTCTTCATGGAGAAAAACGTCTTTTTTTTTCTATTTTTTCTCCTGAATATACAAAATAAACGTTTTATTTTAGTTTATTATTTAATTTTCTTCCTTTTGATCCATGATTAACAAACAAAACAGAAAATATCTCTTATTTGCACGACGGCAGTTTCCTCCCGTGCTCGGCACCAGCGGGGTGGGTACGTTTGTTATTTTTCTGCCTCTCCAGCACATCTTCTTCTTCTTCCTTTATCTTCTTTTATTATTTTAATTACATAATATATATATTTTCTCCTATTTGTCTTTCTAATTTAATTAAATTGAAGAATTCCTTCAAGGACTGGCTGCCGATGCGAGCACCGGTGCTCGGTCTTCCTGTCATATCCACCCCACTGCAGCAGTAAGCGCAGCGTATTGTCCTTCCTTTCCTTTTTTTTTAATATACTTTCTTCTTTTTTTATTCCTTTTAATTATTTTAATATTAAAGATTTTAAGAATTTAACTCATGAACGTTTTTTAGCGGCAGCTGCAGCTGTGCTGTCGTGGAGTCTACTTACGACGCCGGCTGTCTTGTTAATGCATGCTCGTGCTGCTGCTGCTGTTGCTGCTGCTGCTGCTCTTTTTGGTGTGCCTTCTCCGTTTTTGTGAGTCATTAAGAAGTTCCTGCAGAAGAAGGAGCAGCAGTTCCAGCAGCAGCAGCTTGCCTCCTTCTTCTGCCATCTGCCCCTTGAGGATTTTCAATTCGTGCAAGTCTGCAGAAGCAGCAGCACACACAGCAGCAGCAACACAAGCAGCAGCAGCAGCAGCAGAGGTGTATAGTTGCCAAGGGAAGAAAATGATTGTTGAGGTGTGAGATGCCTGGGGATCGGGATCGGGATCGTTTGCAGCAGCAAAGAAGTAAACTGCTGCAACAAACTGAGCATTGTATAGGAAGAATTTTGTTGCAGGTTTAATACTTCCCTCCTCCCTTCCTCGCCTCCTCCTTTCCTTCCTTCCTTCCTCGTTGAATGCATGCATGCATGCATGCATGCATTTTGTTCCTTTTTTTATATTTATTTTCTCTTATAGAGGAAGAATGTTTATACCCCACCAAAGAATTTGCTTGTGGGATCTGCTGCGCTGCATTGGATGTCTTGCTGCAGTAGCTGCAGCAACAGCAGCAAATGCTGCAGAACAAAGAGTCTTTGTTACAGCAGCAGCAGCAACATCTGCAGCAGCAGCACCTGCATCAGCAGACCCTGCAGCAGCAGCAGCAGATTATGTTGTTTCTTCGCAGCATGCATCCGTTAATTCTTTGCATGCATGGCGTCCCTATCGTAGGTTTAATTCCCATCAAGAAGGAGAATGGGTGCAGCAGCAGCAGCAACAGGAGCATGCGCTGCTGCAGCAACAGCAGCAGCGAGATCAGCAGCAGCAGCAGAAGCATATGCGGCTATATAGCGCGTCCTTCCCTCTTTTTGCCTTTGCTGGTATTGTTGTTTCTTTCTTAATATTGCGGTGTATGCATGCATTATCTGCACATAATAAATTAAATAAATTAAATATATTAAATAAAATAAATACAAGAAGATTAGCAGAGAAAGAAAGAATTAGTAATTGGCTTGTTGATTGTTCTGCTGCTGCTGCAGCAGGAGAAGGAAATGCTAACCCTGCTGCTGCTGATGCTGATGCTGCAGCAGCTTCTGCAAGCGACGCAGATGCAGGTGCCCCGTATCGTTCTCCTGCTGCTGCTGCTGCTGCATCAGCAAGAGAGGACCATGGGGGTGATGATACTGCTGCAGCAGCAGCAAGAGATGCAAAATCTGCTGCTGCTGCTGCAGCAGCAGCAGCAGCTTTTGAGGATAATTTAGTGTCTGTAGAAACACAACCTGAGGGTGGCAAGGATGCAGCAGCAGCAGCAAAAGAGGCGGATGTTGTATTTGGTGCATCAGGAGAAGAGGTATTAGCAGCAGCAAGAGCAGCAGCAGCAGCAGCAACAGCAGCAGCAGCAAGAGCAGAAGCAGAATATGTTTCTAGTGTATCCCCAAAGGAATGCGAATCATTATGCGATGAAGCAGCAGCAACAGTAGCAGCAGCAGCAGAAGCAGCAGCACAAGCTCAAGCAGCAGCAGAACGTCGTGCAGCACGTGCAGCAGCAGCAGCAGCAGAATTAGAAACAATTCTTCCTCTTAAGGAAGAAGTACTGCAGCAAGAATGTTTGGTGCTGCTGCAAGAAATAGAGCAAATATCTACTATAGGTACTCGTTGCTTATTAAGTTACCCTAGTACATATATATTTAGGGGTACAGAATTGCTGCTAGCATTATCAATAGAGTTAGCTATGTTACAGTCTGCTGCTCCTGCTGCAGTGCAGCAGCAGCAGCAGAA